ACACATCAAATGTGACAGACCCCTTCTGTCTCTGGGTGCTTGGTTACTGGTCACTCACCATTGTCTGGACAGTACAGATCAGTGTCTTTTTATTTACTTTAGTTATTGTGTCCATTTTCACATACATTATCCCTTTTGAGGAGATCAGAGCGGGGAGGAGGGCCTGGAGAGATGACTCAGCATTTAAGAGCACTGACTGCTCTTCCAAAGGACCTGGGTTCAATTCCTACCACCCACATGGTAGCTAACAGCTGTCTGTAACTCCAAGATCTGCTGACACCCTCACACAGACATACATGCAGGCAAAACACCATAAAATAAAAACAAATAAATTATTAAGAGTGGACAGAGGGGCCTGGGAAGCCTTTGACTCAGATTCTGACTTTTGTGTCTCCTTGAGTGAGTTACTTCACCTCCCCGAGGCTCAGTTTACTCATCTGTAAAGTGGGTTACACCACCTGCTTTCTAGGGGGCGAGGGTTGTGGGTAGGGCATGCAGTGTGGTGGGGGGTTGCTTGTTGGACAGTGTACACTCCAGTCTTTGAATGCTCTGTGAAGGAAGACTGATGTAGAGCAGAGAGGATAGGACTTCACCCCACCTCCCACCCTCACCAGCCCTGCCCGCCACTTAACCCTCTGATCTTCTCCTGTATCTCAGCTTTCACTTTCGGGAGCCTCTCTGTTCCAGGAGAACTTCTAAGAAAACGGCAGGTCTGGGTCTCCATTTTCTGGGGTCACCAGTTCTGGGTACAGAGAGCCAGAGTCCCTTCCTCATGGGCGGGTGCTTGGGTTGCCCAGCTCTCTCCTCCCGGACCAGTCATTGCTGGTGGTCAGCCTCCACGGTACATGTTGTAGATCCTACTACGTAAGCGTGGATGACCCTGATCTGTCCCCTCCTGCTGCCTGTGATCTTGTGGTCATCTCTATGCCTGTCCTCCCTCCTGTGGTCAGTGGCTTCCTGTTTCTACCCCATTTAGTGTCTCGGTCCCCTGGTGGGGGTGCAGCAGTCACAGGAGGATCTTCCTGGAATCCTGCTGTGGCACCTTGGGCCACACTTTGCTCAGTCCCTGCACTTGTAGGGTAGGAAGCCCCAGTCCCAAGGAAAGCTCTGCTATAACGGGGGTGGGGGCTAGGCTAATGCTCAGCTGCCCAGTGTTAGCATGGGGCAGCCTTGGGTGTATGCTTATGGGGAAGGCTGAAACCCAGGGACTGGGGGCAGAAAAAGGGGCAGTTAGAAGACCAGCTCTGTTGGTCCAGGGGCTCTGGGCTGTGCTGTGGAGGTGGAGCAGTGGAGGGGGAGGGAGGCAGGGGCAGAGACACAATAGGGTCCAGCCAAGGGCTGTGGCTATGGCTCTGACAGAGACCTTACCTAGTAGGGACCTGGGTTCCACTTCTAGCAAAAGCACAAAGGCCTGGGGAAGTATTGAGGGGAGCATGAATGGGAAACCTACCCGTAGGGAGTGGCTAGGAGTGAGCCCATTATGGGTCATGCGGATCTGAGAGGAACACTTTGCAGCTCTTTGTCACTCGCTGAAACTAGCTCTTTGACTTCCAGCTTTCTGCATTTGCAAGTGAGAGGGTTATACCTCCTCCCTGTGTGACCTGCTTCTGGGTGGGGCTTGGGCATGGGGCTCTGGCTTGAGGTTTGAGCCTGAGATGGGTCACATGCTGTCTTAGGGGATAAACCAAGGGTCCCTAGAGTCTGGGGTTCGCTGATGGGCCGGCCTCTGTGCTTGCTTGTGGAGACTTAGCAGGCCCAACCTCACTGTGCAAGATGGGGCAGGAGAGGATGTGAATCTGTTAGGCCAGAGGGCCCAGGACAGTCGCGAGTTCATTTATGACAGTTCCGCTAGCAGTCTCTATATATTGCAGGGTGTGGTGGCTCACTTCTGTAATTCCAGTACTCAGGAGGAATTACAGGTTTGAGATCAATCTGGCAAACATCAAATTCCAGGCAAACCAGAGTTGCTTATAAGAAGATCTGTCTCAAAATAACAAGAACAAATATTTTAAAAAAAGAAAAGAAAAGAAAAAAAAATCGGACGAGGTTATGTTGTATTTGGTACTGAGAACAAGCTGCCGTGACTCTCACCTTTTGTTTTATACTTTAAATTTTATTTATTATGACATGTGTGTGTGTGTGTGTGTGTGTGATCCATGGGGGAGGTGTGTGTGTGCATGATGATCCATGGGGGAGGTACAGACACCTCAGGGTCGCGCGGAGGTCGGACGACAACTTTACTGAATCAGTTCTTTCCTTCCACCTTCACGAGAGTTCTAGGAATGAAACTTGCGTCAGCAGGCTTCGCTGGACGAGCACCTTTGCCTGTTGTCTGAGCCATCTTGCCTAGCAGTGCTGGGATTACAGACGCATGCTGCTGCCACACTTAGCTTTATGTGGGTTCTGGGGATTCGAACTCAGGCCCTGACACTTACGTGATTTGTGCTTTACCCGCTGAGCCATCTCCTCGGCCCTCTTTGTTTTTGAGACTGGCCTCCGACTCTTGGTTCTCCTGACTCAGTTTACCACTGTGCCCAGTCCTGAATTCAATTCTAGTGATTTAAAATACACACATCACAGTTGGGGATGTAGCTCTTTCGCTAGAACACTTGCCCACCATGCTTGCCGTCCTGGGTATCTTCAGCTTTCCGTAAACTGGGCATGGTGGTGTGTGGAGACAGGATTTGAAGTTCAGGGCCACATAATGAATTTGAGGCCAGCCTAGGACATACGAGGCATGCCTCGGGAAAGAAAAGGCCAACTCCCTCTGGCCTTCTGCTAAAAGGGAATCAAACCAAGACTCCAGTGTGCCAGGCAGTAAGTGTTCTACGGCTGACCTCACCCCCAGCCCCGTTCTAATGGTAGAAGCAGTAACACAGTTTTCAGACCTTTTAACAACGCAGACATGAGATTTATAGAAAGTCTTTCAAGATGGTGACAGGAGGGTGGGGTTGTAGCTCAGTGGCTTGGTGGTAGAGCATTTGCCTAGCGTGTGCAAGTTCCTGAGTTAAGACCCCAGCAGTACACACATGTGCGTATATGCACAGTTAGTTATGACCAGGGACTTGACATTAGCTTGATGCTATAAGAAGGTTGTGAAAATTAGAGCCTTTCTCCAGATCCTCTGTGTACTATCTGAGGATTCCTGGGGGAGGGCATGGGGAAAGCCAGGAGGGAAAGGACCAGTTTCTAGCCTGTCCTACATCAGCCAAGCTGCGTCGGGGGTCCTGGGGAAAGAGGCACTCTTTGTGTAAGGGCCCCACCTAATTTAGGGTTTAAGGGGAGCAGCAGGGAGCTGGTGAGTTCTGTGTGTTGGAGTGTGGAGTACCTGAGGTATAGGCCCGTGGTGGAAGTGAGTTCCTTGTAGCAGAGGTGTCTGGGACAATACTCCTCAGAGGACGTCCTTGGAGTTGGGGTGACAGACCCACTGGTGGCTCAGGAACCTAAGAATACTAGGTATTGTGTATCTTTACTAGAACCCGGCCACAAGCCCAAACACCAAGTCCAGCCAGGGCCAGTCATGGCCTTAGGACTGGGGACAGGAAATGACCGCCTTAGCTGAGGAGTGAGCAAAAGATGAAAGCCTGGCCATCTAGGTTCCCAGCTCTCCGTAGAGGGCAAACTGTGGCCTAGGGTGGGATATCCACAGGGTTTAGGGCAGGCGGCAGAGCAAGGCTGGGTTAGGCTTGCAATTGGAATTGCCTTGCATCCAAAGTGGGGATAGGGGCCAAGCTGGGAGCCCCCTGGGAGGCACAGTCATACTCAAGACCCCCAGAAAACAGGCCTCAGCCCAGATGGATTGACAAAATGTTCTGGAGCCCTGGAGAGTCAGCAGGGCAGACACAGCTGGGAGGAGCCCTCATGCAGCCTGCACAGTAGCTGCAGTGCCTGAGAGGCAGAAAATAACTTCTTGGCCCAAGGGTCCATTTTGCTGTGCACCCACCCCCTTGCTGCCTTGACTCAGAGGGAGTTAGCTTGGCACGGTTGGGGGTTACTTCTGCACCCTCTGAACTGGGAGCCCAGCCCCCACCCAGTTCCTCATAGCTACAGGAAGTATCTCCAAAGCTTCTTGCCTGCTAGTGGAAGCTCACAGTCCTGCAGACACCCCGGCGGCGAGCAGCTGGAGCCTAGGACAGTGGCTATGCCATAGGTATTACCTGGCGTGGGTGGGGTGGGTGTTGGGCATGTCAGGGTTTTACGGAAGTTGTGCAGAACTGTTGGGCAGTTGTGTGTGGGTTCTGGGGCAGTTGTGTGGAGTTCTGGGGCAGTTGTTTGGGGTTCTGGGGCAGTTGTGTGGGATTCTGGGCTTTTGTATAGGGTTCTGGGATAGTTGTGTGGGGGTTCTGGGGCAGTTGTGTGGGGTTCTGGGGCAGTTGTGTGGACTTGAGTTGTTGATATGAGTGTGGGTCCTATAGGCAGAAGGCAGCTCTACCCAGTAGCTGCTGGGTGAATGACAGGCCTTAGGCCCTAGGGAGCTAAGGAGGCAGGCACAGTGTGCTTGTGTTGTGCTGTGGGGTGTGGTTTGTAGATCCAGGTGAGTGTGTGGCTGTGGTTCCTGTGGAGACAGAGCTGAAGGGCTTCTTGAGAGCTGGACATTGGGGGTCCCTGTTCACCTGAATGGTTCGGGGAAACCTGGAGTCTTGGGGCAAGGGTGGGATTGCAGAAGGGAGAGAGGGAAGGAGAGCTAGGGCCGCAGAGAGGCCTGGGACTGCTTTACCTTTCCCCTCTGTCCAGGGCTTAGTCTTACCTTGAACCTGGAGCAGAGTCCTATGTAAGGGGACTTGGTCACCAGCCTCCAGAGCTCGGAGTGGGAGGAGCCAGGACCTTTAAGGTTGCGCCTGCCTGAGTCACTTGCAAATCAGAATGCAAAGAAGACAAGGGGAGGCCTCCAGAGAGGGGCACACCCACGGGGCCAGCAGGCTCGCACCTCTGGGGTGCCTCTCTTCCTTCCTCACTAGACTGTACTTGGGCCAGTGTACTTGGGCCTTTTCTGCATGATCCCTGGGCCTTGCACATTCCGTTCCCTTAGCCCGGTCACCCGGACAGTGTCCTTCCGTCTCCACCCGGCCAGGCACAGGGTGGGAGGGCTTTGGAAGCCTTCCTGCTTGTCTCGCAGAGCCTCTGTGGGCTGCAGCGGGCAACTTGGGTAAGTGTCCACCTTACCCATGTGACATGGGGTAGAACCCAGGTCTTGGGATCACTGTAAGAGCTAGGGGACAGAGATGGGAATCTGGGATGGGCTGGGCTGACAGTGACTCTTGGCAGAGGAAAGGAAGTCAAGGTTGTGGGCTGCCTTACAGGGCTGTCTTACTGGGCTGTCTTGCTGGGCTGTCTTACTGGGCTGTCTTCCTGGTTGGTGAAGTTGGCGTCACTAGTCACTAGTGGGTAGGCACACCAAGCTTGAGATGTTGAGCGGGGCCAGGAATGGACAGTGAGTTCAAACTCTGCCTTGGATTGAGCTGATAAGGTCATTAAAAGGGTGAAAGCTTTGTCTCCAGCAAGAGGGAGTCAAGCCAGATCTGAGGAAGGACTGGCTGGCAAGGAGCAACGATTTCAGACGATTCTTTCTTCTGCAGTGGGACTAAATTTCCTGAGCTCCATTATGGATGGTGGGTTGGGAAGAGGGGCAGACTCGGGCTGTCATAGGAGATGCTGAAGGCGAGATTCAGGCGGACCCTCACAGAGCAATCAAGGAGAGCAGGCAGAAGCATAGTGGCCAAGGGCAGTTTTGGAGGACTTTCTGGAGGAGGTGGCCTGGAGAGGGGCCAGGGTGGTTGATTTACGCATTGTCAGCTGACTACTTTGGGGCTCCCCTATTTCAGGCTTGGGCTGATGTAGGAAATGACACAGGAGTTGTGGATGGGACTGGAGCTTGAGGTATGTCACTGAGCATTTGGGCAAGTCACTTCCTCTCTGTGGTGTCTGTTTCTTCATCCATAGTGGCCAGGCCCAACTGCAGCAAATGACAGGCTTGAGGAGCCCCAGGGCACAGAGAGCCCCGTTAACTGGGGCAGGTGGCAGGTCTAGTAAGCCGTACTGAAAGGAAGAGCAAAAATGGGATGGGGGAGGCTGTGCAAACTGGGTTGGGGTGTGAACCCTCACCTGTGGCCGCTCTATTGTTAGGCGGTGTGATACGGTCCTCAGCAGGGTCTCTGGTCCCCAGAGGGTGACTGCAGAGCAGGGGAGGGCTGGGTGCCAAATCGCTCTACCATAGAGGCGTGTTAAAACTCAATCAGGCCGTGATGGTGCAGGCCTTTAATCCCAGCACTTGGGAGGCAGAGACAGGCAGATCTCTGTGAGTTTGAGCCCAGCCTGGTCTACAAAGCGAGTTTTAGAACAGTTAAACAGAGAAACCCTGTCTCAAAAAACAAAAACAAAACAAAACAAGAGTGAAAACCCGTGTCAAGAACCCATGATGAACAAAACATAAAATACTATGATTTTTCAGTAAAGAAAGGATGGCATTCCCAGTGATTAACTCAGACTTCTGTCAGTGACAGCCACCTCTGGGAAGAACTCTGACCTTGCCTGGTCAGGGCCCCAGAATATGGTTCCCAGGTGGCAGTGTCCTGGAGGCTTCTGGGTTATGCTTCCAGCTTCTTGAGTAGCACTGTCCCCAAGGCTATCAGCACCCAGTCCCCAGGTCTCTGACCTTGACCAGTGCCCTTTAGTACTGGAATAGGAACTTGAGAGAGGCCAGACTCATCTCAGGGAGAGCAGTGGGTTCCTGTTTCCCAGCCTTAGCCTGCCCAGCAATGAGTTAGGACCATCACCATTCCTCAGTCAACTGACCTCGGCAGGTACTCCTTTATACCACAAGACCTTTGCTTTGGCAGCATGGCTAAGAGAAGGGTGGAGAGCCTGGCCAAGAGAGGGGAGCACGGCCGAGAGTGGGGAGCACATCTGAGAGTGGGGAGCACATCTGAGAGTGGGGAGCACGATTGAGAGTGGGGAGCACGGCCGAGAGTGGGGAGCACGTTTGAGAGTGGGGAGCACGGCCGAGAGTGGGGAGCACATCCGAGAGTGGGGAGCACATCTGAGAGTGGGGAGCACGATTGAGAGTGGGGGAGCACGGCCGAGAGTTGGGAGCACATCTGAGAGTGGGGAGCACATCTGAGAGTGGGGAGCACAATTGAGAGTGGGGAGTTGCTTTGCCCAATAGACAGTACAAGAGCTGGTTGGAAATATGGTTCCATGATTAAAATGCTTACCATACAAGGCTAATAACCTGAATCGAGATATGCAGAACCCAGGTAAAAAGCCGGCCATGTGGTTTGGTTACATAGCTCAGTGAGTCAAGGTTCCTGCTCTGCCCCCATCTGACAGCCTGAATTCAGGTTGCACACGGTGGAAGAAGAGAACAGACTCTTGCAAGTTGTTCTCTGAGTATGTACGCAGGTATGAGTGTGTGCACAAATACAGCAAACAAACCTGGATAGAGTAGTGCATATGTGTGTGCTGCCCTGCTCCACCAGAGGTGGGAGGGAGAGACAGGAGATACATGCCCAGGGCTGATCTCTGAGCTCAGCACATGCGTGAGTGCAAGAGTAGGCGTATTGGCACACTTTCGTCATCCCAGCGTTCAGGAGCCTCAGTGGCATGTGCAAGGCCCTGGGTTTGATCCCAGGCAAAACAAAGCAATGATTTATGAGCAGTGAATTTTAACATTTGCCGACATGTATGTGCATGTATTACTTGTGTGCCTGGTACCTGAGGAGACCAGAAGAGGGCACTGAGTTCCCTGGAACCGGAGCTGGCAGGTATTGTGAACCACCGTTTGGGTGCTGGAAACTGCACCCAGGTCTTCTGTAAGGGCAGCAGGTGCTCTAACTGCTGAGTCATCTGTCTTGCCCGCTTTTAAGGTTTTAAATATCATCATTATCTTCGTCATCACCACAATGTTGTTCTGTAGCCCAGGCTGACTTCAAACTCACTGTGGACCCAAAGTCAGTGAATTCTTAATCCTCCTGCCTCTACATCCCCTGTGCTAGCATTCCAGGTGTGTGCTACCGTCCCTGGCTTCATGTTGCGTTAGTGGTATTTTAAACCTATATTTATCATGCAATCAGTAAAAAGACGTTGAGGTATTTTATACATTCTTTTTTTTCCCACTCTCTTCAGAATACCAGATGTTCAGAATTCAGTGCTCCTCATTTTGGGGCCATGTTTCAATTGTTCAAAGCCATGTCTGGCTGTGCCAGCTACTGTATTGAACAGGGTGGGCCTAGATTTGTGATTGTTGAGACTGCTCCTTTGTTATTCATTTTTCCTTAAAAGTCTCTGGAGTTATTAGGGGGAGATTTCTGCCTTGCAGGTCATGGAAAGAACAAATGAATTCAAGTGCAGAGACACCAGGCATGTGCAGTCCTGGCTGTTCTGGAGCTCACTCTGCCTCCGGAGTTAAAGATGTGCGCCACCACCACCCTGCACTGCCATTCAGGCCAACACTTCCCCCAGAGTTCCAGTTAATGAACATTTGTTTAGAGGCTGGAGGGGTGGCTCGCAGTTAAGAGGATGGCTGCTATTCCAGAGGACCTGAGTCCAGGCACCCACATATAGACTCACAACTGTCTATGACTCCAGTCTCAGGAGATCTGACGCCTTCCTCTTCCCTCCTTTGGCACCGCATACATGCATGCAAAATACCTATGCACATAAAATCAATAACATCTTTAAAATTTTGTCTCAAAAATGCTCACTTTAAAACCCCATTCCCAGGAGACAGCTCTGTAAAGCGCCACGTAAGCCTGAGGACCTGGGTTCCATTCCTGCTCACCTAGCAAGCTGGATGTGGTGCTGTATGCTTGGGGCAGGGCACAGTGCAGGAGGGTGACCCCTGACCTCAGCACACTGCATGCTGTGGCACCAGCATCCTCACAGACCGTGTACTTGCAGAAACACCCACAGAACCCACATTCCCATAGAGTGCCCTATTTTTTGCTTGTTTGGTTTTTGTGGAAGGTGTTACTTTGTTTGGTTTTTGAGACAGGGTCAGCTCCATAGCCCAGGCTAGCCTGGTACTTGCTTTGTTGTCTTAGGTGGCAGTTCTCCTGCCTAAGCCTACCAAGTACTGGAATTCAGATGGGCACCCCCCACCCCTGGCTCAGTGTCTCTGCTTTAACTCTGTTCTAAGCAGTGGCCATAAATGAATGGTCCTGAGTGTGGACCCCAGCCATTGTGCAGACCCCAGCAGTTATTAAGGCCCTGCCCTGACTTTGCCCTGGGCCCCAGGGAGGGGTCTGCACATTCCATTGTGTTCACAACCCCATCCTCATAGAGCCTCCAGAGGCTAGCCTGGTCTCTCTTCCCTTGGGAATCCCCTATTGGCTCATTGTCCTCGTCTTTCTAGTCCCGTGTCCGTGCCCCAGCTGTGCCTCACCTCTGTCTCAGCCTGTTCCGTGGTCCTCAGATTGGTGGAGAGAGCCTTGTGTTCCTGTGTCCCCAGCTCTCCTGTCAGGAAAGCATCTGGTTCAAGGAGCACATCCTACCTGCTCGTGAACCTCCCTCACCTTCTCCTGGAAGGCCTTTCTGGGGTCTGACTCCATGGCCAGTGTCCTGGTGCCCTGGAGCCTCCCCTCTGCCTGCTCCATCTCTCTTCACCCCTCCTGTCTCTGCTTTCTTGCCCCGTCTTTGTTTGCTCCTCTGCCTTTCCCTGTCGTCCTCCCCCACCATCACTTGCCTCACGGATTCCCTCCACACCTGTCTCCCTGCAGCACCATGAGGAGCCCCTGGGAATAGGAACAACCTCTCTGGAGGCCCCGGTGTACTCGGTGGCAGGTAAGTGGGGAGCTGGGAGCCTGAGACCTGGGGTTTTATATTCTGTTTTGGGGAGCTGGGATTGTGGGCAGAAGATGAAGCCTGAGAACTTGGAAAAGCCCCCACGAGGGGCTCCGAGAGGAGAGGCTGGTTTGCTGGGTGCCAAGTGATGGGTGTTTCCTCCTTGCTTGTTGAGTTTTGGTCTCTTTCCCATTCCTACACATTCTGGTGCCCCGGCTTGTGTATGGAGGTCAGAGGACACCTGGCAAGAGTCTGTCTTGCCTTCCACCCTCGTGACTGAACTCAGCACCTTTATACTCTGTGCCTCACATTGCCTTGAAATAGAATTCGTTTTGTGGGGATCTGGAAGGCTCTTGTCTCCCCAGATGCCATTTATCCCCTAATGTAGCTTCTTGTTTATCTACTCAGATGTGTGTTCATGTTTCTTTTGTTTTTCTGTAGCCCAGATGTTTATATAATACTGCTCTGCACCTCGCCTTTATGATTAAACATATTTTGCTTGTTTGTTTTTCAAGACAGGGTTTCTCTGTGTAGCCCTGGCTGTCCTGGAACTGCTCTGTAGACCAGGCTGGACTCAAACTCAGAGATCCGCCTGCCTCTGCCTCCCGAGTGCTAAGGTGTGTGCCACCTTGTGCTACCACCCCAGCTGTTGAATACACATCTTTAACATCAGTTTATATAAACTTTAGAGCTAGTCTATTTTCAGTTTGGAAATTGCTTTCAGTTCAACCCTGGAAGACTTTCCTTCTTTATACTGTTATATGATGGAGGGCCATTGTACTCAAGAACTCCAAATGTCTCTCTGTTGAATGACTAGTCTTCTAAAACTCACATAAAACATCAGGCGATGGAATACATAAGGTGAATCTTCTTCCTCCTCACCAAGGTAGTTTTCCAGGGAAGCTAAAGTTTTGTGTTCAAGGCCATTCTAGGATTCAGAGAGGGACCTGAGCAATATATGTGCAAGGTTATATGTTCTGTGAATTTTTCAAAAATAAGACATTCCTGGGGCTGGAGAGATGGCTCAGCAGTTAAGAGCATTGCCTGCTCTTCCTAAGGTCCTGAGTTCAATTCCCAGCAACCACATGGTGGCTCACAACCATCTATAATGAGGTCTGGTGCCCTCTTCTGCAGACATACACACAGACAGAATATTGTATACATAATAAATAAATAAATATTTAAAAAAAATAAGACATTCCTGTTTTCTTTTCCTTCCTTCCTTCCTTCCTTCCTTCCTTCCTTCCTTCCTTCCTTCCTTTCTTTCTTTCTTTCTTTCTTTCTTTCTTTCTTTCTTGTTTTTCAAGACAGGGTTCCTCTGTAGCTTTGGAAATAGCTCTTGTAGACCATACTGGCCTCGAACTCTCAGAGATCTGCCTGCCTCTGCCTCCCAAGTGCTGGCATTAAAGGCATGCGTCACCACCACCTGGAGACATTCTTGTTTTCTTATTCCCCAAAAGATCATCCAAATGACACAAGCCCTATGAGCTGGCCCTGTTTCCTCATGCCTCCTCAGCCCTTAACTTCCTTCATTTGAGGCGTTCTCTGGTGTGGCCTTGTCTCCTGTCTCTGTGGAGGTGCATCTAAGCATTTAGCCAAGTGAACACACTCATCCCGGCATTTAACTTGCCGTTACTGTTGTTGGTTTTTCTTGTTTGTAGAAGGCAGGATGTTATAATCCTGTTCTGAACATTTTCCAGCTCATGTAACAAGGTCATTCGTGCGGTGTAGAAGGCTCTTCCTCCTTTTCGTAACTACTATGTATTCTATTGCATGACTACCCCGTAATTTAGTCACCCATTTCCCAGCTGACGGACATTTTGGTTCTTTCCATTTTCTGTAATTCACACAGTTTGGTAGCTGATAATCATTTATAGATGTTGCTTTGGATGGGTGCCAGTCACACTGCAGGGCAAATGCCTGTATTTTGTTTGACCCAGTGTGGCTAGGTCAAAGGGCAGCAGCAGAGGGACTCTCCTGGTGACTGTGACATTGTCCCCTACCCATGACCGTGGTGTGACTCTCAGGTTGTTCGTATTGGCAGTGTGATGGGTAGAAGGTACTGTTTGACTTTTGTATTCTATTGAGTTCCTTGTCCTGTGTTTAAAGGCTCTGTGTGTGTGTTCCTTCCTCTGGACTTCTCTGTTCAGATCATTCCCCACCACCCCCATAATTCTAAGAGGTAGTTTGGTGTCTGTTGCTGTAATAACCACCATGACCAAGAACAACTTGGGGAAGCAAGGGTCTGTTTTATCTCACAGCTTACAGCACAACAGGAAGTCAGGGCAGGAACTCAAGGCAGCAACTGGAGGCAGGAACTGATGCAGAGGCCTTGGAGGAGAGCCGATTACTGGCTGGCTTCTCATGGCTTGTCAGCCTGCTTTCCAGTAGAACCCAGCGCACCTGCTCTGGAGTGGCATGGCTCCTGGTGGCCTGGGTCGGCTCACACCAGTCTGATGGAGGCGGTTCCTCAACTGACATCCCTTTTCCTAGTGGCTCTAGCTTGTGTCAGGTTGACAAAAAAACTAAAAGATGTACTCACATTTGTGTGTTCACTTGCCCACTCGTGCTCGCTCTCTCTCTCTCTCTCTCTCTCTCTCTCTCTCTCTCTCTCTCTCTCTCTCTCTCGTAATATAGTTAATTTCAAGTAGCTCAGGTTGGCTTCCAATGAAGGAACACTGCTCCTGATTGTTGGGACGACAGCTAATGCCCTGTGTTCAGGTGTCTCAGCTTTTAGAAGTATGGGGTAGGACATACCTCCTGGTGGGGTCATATCTCCCACTTTGTTTGTAATGGGCTCTGCCGTGCAGAGTTCCTTAGTTTCTATGTATTGTCATATGACATTTAACCACAAAGACAGACTGGAAGAGTTGTAGGGAGTGACTGGGGATGTGGCTGAGTGCAGAGAGTGTTTAATTCATTCTCAGTGCTGCGTAGTGGGGTGCGATGGTGCAGGCCTGTAACTGGGAGCTGAAGGAAGACATCTGAAGTTCAAGGTCATATGCGTTTGAGAATTAATCCTTTTGTGATACCGCCTGTTCAGAACTTACGCCTAAACACAGGAATTAAGTGGACATCTCTGTCTTGTCCCTGACTGTAATGGGAATTGTTTTCAAGGCTTTATTTTTATTTATGTCTATATGTGTGCAATCCTATTTGCTAGTATGTGCCCCCCCCCCATGTATGCAAGCGCCTTCAGAAGGCAGACAAGGAACTAGAGTTACAGGTGGTTGTACGCCCTCCAGCACGGCTGCTGGTAACCTCTGAGCCATGTCTCCAGCCCCTGTAATTGGAACTTTCTATTATTTTGTGATTATATGAGGTTTGTTTAAGGAATATCAGTCTGTTCAGTGGGCTCAGTGCTGGACATTATTGTCACCTCGTCCATGCTGTGAGGTGACCAGGTCGCTGCGCCCTTTGCATCTCTGTCTCTCTTCCTTGGACTCTTGGGTTCTTGGTGTGTACGTGGGTTCCCACTGTCCGGTGTTAGGCTGTTGATGACCGAGTTGTACACGAACACATGACTGTTTCTCCCTCTCTCTGCCTCGGGGGCAGGGGAGGATAGTGCACGGAAGGCGAGATGCAGAGGCTTTTTCCCCTCAGGAACTTTTCTTGAGAGACATGGACGGGACATGGAGTGTGCGGAGAGGCCCACAGTGGGGCCATTTCCCCCTACATGCTCACTGAGCCTCCAGACCTGGCCCTCCCCTGGGGACAGGTGTCTCAGAGGGATTGGACCCTGTAGTCTTGCAGAGATGAGTGGGGTGGAGTGTTTTGCCCAGTCCCAACGTGTCATCTTCAGCAGTAGCTGAACCTGCAGGTTGGGGGTGTGATGGCTGCAGAGGACATGATATGCTAAGAAACCTTGAGCTAGAAGCCAGGGGCACGGGGACCCTCAGAGGTGGAGAACCGGGCTATCCAGTCAGGCCTGGCAGTGCTCAGCTTTGTGTGGTTTATGGGCACGGGGTGGATGGGCCAGAATAGAACTCAGCTTGGGTATGGTGGTGCTTACCTATAATCCCAGTGCTCAGAACACTGAGACAGGAGGATTGACTTAAGTTTTAGGCTAACCTGGGCTACATAGTGAGCTTAGGCTCATTCAAGGTCAGAGCCGTAGAGACACATAGCAAAACCCTGTCCCCAAACACCAAAGCCACCAACAACATAAGAACAGAATTTGAGGGGGCTGGAGAGATGGCTCAGAGGTTAAGAGCATTGCCTGCTCTTCCAAAGGTCCTGAGTTCAATTTCCAGCAACCACATGGTGGCTCACAACCATCTGTGATGAGGTCTGGTGCCCTCTTCTGGCCTTCAGGCATACACATAGACAGAATATTGTATACATAATAAATAAATGAATAAATAAATAAATATTTAAAAAAAAAGAACAGAATTTGAGTTCATGACATGGGTGGGGTCTGGGGAGTTCAGATTTCAGCAATCCAGCGGATTGCAGTTTCTGGGATTTAGGGCTTTCGATTTGGGTCTTTTGGAATTCCGTATTTGAGATTATGACATTCAGAGTCATGACTGGCACAGCACGGAGGCTCACAGAGGAGCACTGCTGGCCATGGCTCCTGGGTGGCTCCTCACCTGTGACCTCTGTTTCAGGTCTGAGCCTGGCCCTGGGCCTCTGCTGGCGGAAGCCATGGCAGAGAGCAGCGACGCCTCTCTGTCGGTAGCCGAGTGGCTTCGGGCGCTGCACCTGGAGCAGTACACGGCACTCTTTGAGAAGCATGGACTGATGTGGGCCGCCGAATGCCAAGGCCTCAGTGATACCAGCCTATTGGACATGGGCATGCACCTCCCTGGCCACCGCCGCCGTATCCTGGCTGGTCTGCTCCGTGCCCGTGCACCACCCGCCCCTGTGCCTCGCCCTGCCCCGCGGCCTGTGCCCATGAAGCGACACATCTTTCGTTCACCACCTGTGCCCATCACTCCACCTGAACCGCCGCCCACAGCTGGAGATGAGGGGCTTCCTGCTGCTCCACCGATTCCGCCCCGAAGGAGCTGCCTCCCACCTGCCTGCTTCACTCCGCCGTCCACAGCTCCCCCGGACCCTGTGCTGCCCCCACTGCCTGCCAAGCGGCACTCGGCAGAACTGAGTGTTCCTCCCGTACCTCCTCGTACCGGACCCCCCTACCCACAGGCCAGGTGAGTGCCATCATTGCTGTGGGTGGAAGGTCCTGGGTGTAGAAGGAACCAGGGCTAGAGGAATGACTGACTGCTAGTGGGGGACACAGCTTAGGGAGAGGGGAGCAGGGCAGAGAGGGCCGAAGTATGGGCCCGAGGATGGCCAGGACTCAAGGATACCTGGACATGTGCGGAGCGGGTCGGAGAGCCTCAGTGGCCCCCGGGTGTCTATCCCACCGCACCATCTGAGTTCATTGGGTCACGTGGCCTGGGATCAGGGTGTAACCTGGCACTAGGAGGTGATGTGTGGAGAACCCTGAAGCCTGGGGTGATGCTCAGGTGTGGGGGTGGGGTGTGCATCATACTCCTCTTCCCACCCAATCCCAGGACCTCTCTGAGCCTCAGCCAGCTTGCTCTCCCTCTCCTCTTCTTCAGAATCCCTTCTCCTCTCCCTGGCTCCTCTACTCCCTGTTTTCCTGAGCTTTTTCCTCTTTCCATGGACATTCAGCTTATTCTTCCTTTAGCTGTTTGCTTGGTGCCAGTGGAGAAGTCTCTTAAGACAGGGTTGCTGCTCTATGTTTTGGGCTAATGACATTCCGACATTTTGAATCCTGTTGGATTTTTTGAAAGGATGTTCTGAGAGAGGTCTCTTGCCCTTATCACTGCTGGACAGTGTTGGGGGATTCTGTTGATCCCTTCAGCAAGCCTTCTAGGTGGGCGTTGTGTTCTGACTGAGCAGGGTGACTGAGGCTTAGGGCCTGGAGGGAAGGGCTGGCTGGGTCCGTGCAGAAACACGCTGTGGCGAATGTCTGTGAGGTGTCCTCCATCTAGAGAGGAGCATTGAGTCAAGGGACCTTCTGGGCCAAGCCAGGTTTAAGGTTATGATCAGGTTTAATTTGATGGAAATTAGAGATTTCATGGTCTAGAAATTCATGGTTCTTGGTGCTATTGCACCCTCTAGTGGCCATCCTTCTGCATGCAGGCGAACCATTTATTTGAGAGAGCACCATAGAGGGAGTTGGAATTCAGAGTACCCTAAACTCACCACTCCACACACCCCTTGTCTCCTTCCTTCTCCCCAAGCAGGGCCACCCTCTGGAGATGTTTTGGGACTGGAGAGGCCTTCAGAAGAGGCTGATGGGAAGAATTCAGCTGGGATAGGATTTTAGCTTTAGACCATGGTGCAAGCAAATTGGCTTCTTGCCCTCCGTCCTTGGGGCCTGATGACCTATCTGAACTGGCCTATGTGGTTCTCCTGAAACTTTTTAAAATATGTATTTATTATGTATACAGTATTCTGTCTGCGTGTATGCCTGCAGGCCGGAAGAAAGCACCAGGCCCCATTACAGATGGTTGTGAGCCACCATGTGGTTGCTCGGAATTGAACTCAGGCAATGCTCTTAACCACTGAGCCATCTCTCCAGCCCCCAGTTCTCCTGAAATTTATATCTGTTCAGAGAACTTGCAGGGCAGAATAAAAATCATATCCATAGCCCAGGGCTCCAAGATACAAGGATCTATTCTTAGAGCTACAGTCTGAACATAGGTACTTGGCCCAACATATGGGGAAGTGAAGGCCCCTGTGTAAAACATCTGGGCCCTCAGCAGGCACGGGGTCGGGGATCATAGAATGGTGTAGTACTGGCAAGGAACCCGTGTGCATCCTCCATGGTTTTTTGCTTTGTTTTGGTTTTTGTTTTTCTATATTTTAGAGATGGAACTCGGGGCCATGCACACGCTAGGCAAGTGCCCCACACTGACCCATATCTCCAGCCCCATTTCTTGTACTGCGAATCATCCAGACGTTACTCACAGTGCCAAATACACCAGGAATGCTGTGCAGATGACTATCAGACTGGGTTGGGTAGGGAATAGGGACAAGGAAAATCTACATGTGTTCAGATGGGTTTGCCGCACATGATTTCTTCTGCAGTTTATTGAATCCATGGCTGAGGAACCATAGGTTGATCCCCACAGTGGGGGCCATTCCTTACAGCAGAGTGGTACCCCAGGCGCCCTGTGCTCTGAGTCCTGGGCATCGGCAGCCCTCAGCTCATGGGTGTACAAAGTCTTTAGGTTTTTAAAAAATGTTATTTTATGTGTGTGGGTGTTTTGCCTGTCCTCCTGTTTGTACCCCACATGTATAGGTGTACGTATGCACATCTGGCCTGTCTGTGTACTTACATATTTGTGTTGGACCTGTAGGTAGCCATGCTTGATTCTAACAGGTGCAGGGGTGCAGGGATCTGGTGTGTGAGCTCCTCAGGCCTGAGGATACACAGGTGCTGCAGTGCTGGGTTGCGTTGTTAATAGGATGCAGACGCTGTTTGGATGAGTGAATTGGCACATTTGTTGTTTGTGTGCTGTCGAGTGTGAGTCACTGTGCACATATGTGTGTGCACATGCTGCCAAGCCTGAGCCTGTTAGAATGTCAGCCCTCCAGAACCCTGGGATCTTTGTCCGTTTCCTTCACTGTTGAATTCTCAGCATCTGGCAGGGCCCTTTGGAGGTGAAAGGTCAGTGCTGCCAGGAGCTTTTGTGTACACTGCAGGTGCTGAGCTGGGATGCCTGGAGGTGAAGTGAGCAGGGCTCAGCCCAGACTGGCCACTTGGATCCTTCTCCCCAACCCCTGTTATCACACCCTTTGTGGGAAGGCGCCGGCCTTTAGAGGGGTGAGGGTGTGAGAGCCAACCAGAAAACAAGCAAGGGTGGGACTTCCTCCTTTCTGCCTGGCCCATGAAGCCCCCACTTCACCTCTGCATTTGGTCATGGGGTCTAGGCCCAAAGACACCCAGCCCTGGAGGGGCACCAGCATTCAAACCCTGCCTCCTGGCTCTGACCCTGTCCACTCAGACTTACTTCTCTGGGTCCTAGAGGAATCATTTCTGGTTGAGGGTCCCAGAGTCCCTCACTCCACACAGCCCCTTCCAGCTCTGGCTGTCGGCTTCCTCCTCTGGCACTTGGAAGCCTTGAGATATTTGCGGGAAAGGAAGTATTTGCTCAGAGTCGACAGCTACCTGCTGGAGTCATACTCTGAAAGGTTTCCTTTCTGTGCTTTGACTGCCTTGCAGCCCAGCCAATCCTTGGCTTTCGTGGAGGCTGATCACCTGTTGCTGGGGCAGAAACTGTTCCCTTCCGAGAGCCTATTTTGCAGTCTCTTTGGGAGCCTTTCAGCGGGTGGAGATTGTAAGGGCTAACCAGAATCAGGGCTTCCTGGACGTCCACCCTGTGAGGTCTCAAGGGACCAACAGACACGGGGCTACTTGTCCTGTTTTAGTTTGGGTGGTAACTGGTGTGGCTTGAGGGGCGGGGAGGAAGTCTCTGCCCCAGGGGATTATGGGTGGCTTTTCTCTTTAGTGTTTTCAGGAAGTGTGTTGGCCCAGGCTGAAGGGGGTGGGGATAGGAGAGACGGAGAGGAGGAAGCAAAGACTAGGACTGGACACACACACACACACACACAAACACACACACACACACGCACACACGCACACAGTCTCAACAGTTTTATGATTATATTCAGAAACACACATACACTTAGAAAAGTGATTTACACAATTCAGAGACACCACTTATAGGTGTGCAAGAACACACCTGGGGCTCACCACCTCCAAGGGAGCAGGGCACAGACACAGTTGGCGATAGGGACTCCAGCCCACGCCACGTAGGCCTCCAGGGCAGACACAGGCCACCTTGGCAGGTTCTGGTCCACCTGGCTGGGGTCCCAGGAATTCTTAGGCCCAGGATTCAGCAGGCCTCTGAGGTAAGTGAGGGGCAGCCCTGGCTAGGACGGTGGGCAGGTGGGAGGCCTGGGAGGACAAGAGCCCCTCTTTGTCTGCCTGTCACTTTCTGAGCTGCTTCTCCAGGGTTCTCTGTTGCCCCTTGACCCAGGATTTTCTTCACCTTCTCCACCGCTCCAGCTGTTGCACTGCCCTTTTCTAACCTTCCCTCCTTCTTGTCTCTGGGTTTTCCAGGTTGGTGTCTGCCCATCAGCCTCTCCTAGATCCACTGGGGACCCCAATACCTGTTATCTGGTCCTTTGTCAGACTGCCACACCAACTGGTGTGTGTGTGTGGGGGGGGGAGTCTCAGCTCTTTGTGTGTGTGTGTGTATGTGTAAGGGGAGTCTCAGCTCTTTGTGTGTGTGTGTGTGTGTGTGTGTGTGTGTGTGTGTGTGTGTAAGGGAGTCTCAGCTCTCTGAGCCTTTGGTTCCCACCCATTCTATTCTGTCATTAATTTCCAGTTCCCTGCGCCATCAAGAAATTTGCACAGGGAGATTTAGGTTAGCTTGTTGCTGTGTGTCTAATGCCCCCAGCCCAAGGTGACAGGGACCTACCTGCAGAGGGCTGGCTCTTCAGTTGTGTGGTCCACCCCCCTGCTTGCCAGGGCTGTTATGAAGAGTATGAGGTTGACCTCCCCTCCTTCCAGTTATGAGGAATCTCTAATGAACCCAGCACCCCTAGGGTCACTAGGGGTACCGAATGGCCTCCACTTTGGACTGGGTACCAGAAGTGGTGGGGAGGGTACTGTCTGAAAGCTCACCAAGGGCTGAGCTGTTCTTGTCCCCAGGGAGAAAGTAGGTCCAGATCCAGGAGGCTCACAGACAGATAGATGCTACCCGCCTCCTGTCTGCCACAGCAGGACTGGTCTCTGGGGCAGCTCAGCAGGGTCAGGCAGTGGAGTGGTGTGGAGGAGGAGTGTTTGGGGGGTGCTCCAGTGTGTTTTAAGCACAAGAGAGTTGATGGTTTGTGGTCATTCCATGTAGAAAGCCCCAGCAGAAGCCTAGCCCACTTAGCAAGGGGAGCACCCTCCCCCACCCCAGCCCAGGAAGAAGTGCCCCGGGCTGTGGGGCCTTGGTCATGTGCTGACTTCTAATTGGGTGCTATTGAAGGGTGCATGGGGGCGGGAGCGTGTGCAGACACGTATGCGGGCAGGGGGGTGCGCGGTGGGGGGGGGGGGGGGGGGGGGGGGGGGGGGGGGGGTGGGGGGGGCGGGGGGGGGGGGGGGGGGGGGGGGCGGGGGGGGGGGGGGGGGGGGGGGGGGGGGGGGGGGGGGGGGGGGGGGCTTTGTGCTCAATGACACGTAGGCTGCAGGCCTCTGTCCTGGCAAAGGGAGCTGTGGTGGCCTGGGCAGAAGTGAGGAGAACAGAGCAGGGCTGTGCAGCAGCAGCGCTAAGGTGGAGGAGGAAGGACAGAAGCTGAATGAAGGAAGCAAGGAGCAGGACCAGGGCCCGGCTGCTGAGGAGGAAGTGCACTGGGAAAGTCTGCCACTGGAAGGGGACACACTGGGCCTGGCCTCCTTTTGCAACTGTGCTGGTGAGAGTCCTAGAAGTGGTGTGGGTCCCTTTAAGGCCTGTGTGACATTTTAGGGGGATGGTTCTGACTCTGGGATGGAATACAGCCTGGGTCTTTGTCCTCTGAGGTCTCTCAGTGAACCAAACACTGAAGGACATAGCCATGCAGGATGATCAGAAGTATGATGTGGCCTGGAGAGGTGTCTCAGCGGCTAAAAGCACTGGCGCCCATCCAGAGGACTTGGTTCAATTCCTAGGGCCTAGGCCGGGCGATGGTGGCGCACGCCTTTAATCCCAGCACTCAGGAGGCAGAGGCAGGCGGATCTCTGTGAGTTCGAGACCAGCCTGGTCTACAGAATTAGTTCCAGGACCGGCTCCAAAGCCACAGAGAAACCCTGTCTCGAAAAACCAAAAAAAAAAAAAAAAAATTCCTAGGGCCTACATGGTAGCTCACAAATTATTTGAAACGTTAGTTCCAGGGGGTCTGGTGCCTTTTCTGATATCTGTGGGCATCTGCATGCAGACAGTGCACTTGTAAACATACTTAAACATAAATTTAAATAAGTAAATCTTAAAAATAAAGAAATACTATGGTGTGTGGGGAGCCCTGAGGGAGCCCCTAAGATGCCTGAGGCATGAGGGATTGGAGGATGTGGGTGTATGCCTTTTAAGAAAGTGGGAGTTTAGCTAGACAGGGACAGATGTTCTAGGTGAAAGGAGCGCTTGTGTAAAGGCTTTGAAGTGTATGTTTATAGACCGCAGCTCGGGATTGTAGAGATAGCCCAGAAGTTAAGAGTGAAGACCCGTTCATAGTTCCCACATTGGCAGTCACAACCACCTGCAACTCCAGCTCCGGAGTATCCGCTCGCACAAACATGCACATGCATACAACTAAAGGTAAATAAGTAAATATTTATAGACTTCAGATTAGCTTTTTATAGAGGGCTGGAGAGTGACTTAGTCCAAAGTCCATTGACATTTAGGCTGCCCCTTTCGGCCGTCCTGCCCTCAGAGTGAGCCTTGGTTTCTCTGGCTGGAGGCGGATATAGACGGAAGAACTGAGAGGGGAGTACGGGGCGCTCAGGGAGAAGGCTATAATGTAGCTCGTGGCCTAGTTTGTGGGGCTGAGACTCCTTTGGCTACAGCCCAAGTAAGAGACTGTGCCTTAACATGTGAGAACAGCGTGGGTAAGCTTACAGGCTAGCCAGAGTTGGGGAAACTGAGGCTCAGAGGTCATGACTGAGCTCTGGGACTCAAACCCAGATTTGTCTGCCTCCAAACTGGAGCGGGCACAATTCTCAGTGTGCCCAGACAGACTCCGTCCACACCTACGGCCCTCTGGTAGAGCCACACCGTCAGTGTCGGGGTCACCCGATCTTCCCTGTTTAGACTTAGGGCCCTCGTATGTCCCCAGTTCTGGGTACAACATCCCATGATATTTCCTATGATCTGTAAGGTCAGACTTCTTGGGCTCAGGAGCCAGGTTGAGGTGGGTCCCCCCGTCCCAGGTACCCAGTCTCATTGTGAATGGCATAAACATTAGAACTGCACCTTGGCCAGAGAAAGGCCCGAGGGACAGCAAAGCAGGGTGCAGCCCTGCTAGGGCCTGTGGGCTGCATTTTGAGGTACAGAGGGTGTTCCCTGGGTTGGGAGTTGGGGTAGAGGTCAAAGGAGAAGGAACAGGGTGAGCAGAGGCCTGCTGTGGCCTCAGCCCAGCCCAGAGCAACGCTGGACTGCAGAACAGCCTGGGACTGTTTGGGAGGAGCAGACACCCAGGGGCTGCTCCAGGGGTGCTCCCCCAGGCTCGGTTCTCGGTAGGGGATAGTACTCCCCTCCCCTGGGGATTTCCCGTAAGCCGTGCCTTTCTGGCCTTACTTCTCCTTTCCTGGTCCTGACTCAGCAGTGCTGGATGCCCTGTGCCAGGCAGACTGGCTCTCATGGAGGTTTCTTGCTGCAGGTGTTAGGAGAGGCCCCATTGTCGCCCCTCCTGGGACAGATGGTAAAGACAGAGGGCACCTGCAGGTGGTGAGCCTCAGGACAGGCTCTAGAACATCATGGAGGAAGACAAGGCCAGGAGGTTTGTGAGGAGGAGGGGCAAGTGGGTGCCCTTTGCCATTCTCCACTCCTCAAGGGAGGAGCCAGGCCCACTTAGGCTTGTTGGGCCATGGAGAGCAGGAATTCCCACTTCCCCACAGTTCACACTCTGCTCTCAGCTGGCCTCTGAGCGCGGCCTCCACAGCCCCTTCTTCCTGCTCTGGCAGCAGCTGTGTGCTGGGTCGATTTGTACATCCCGAAGTCTAAGGCCATGGCACTGATCCCCGGGGCCAGGCACCAGGCCAAGCTGCTGGGCATGTTTGCGTTCGGATGTTTAGTCATTATTTAAGGGTTCCTTTGCTTCCCTTGCCTCCAGAACGGTCGGTCCTGCTGTTTGCTGCCCACTCAGCCAGCTCCTCACTCTGCTCTGGGGATCTTGAGTCCGATGTTTCCCTTCTGTACGGAGCCTCAGGGTCAGCTTGGGGAGACAGCCTGGTGCAGTGCCCACAAGGGACATCATACTCTCAGTACCAGCTCCCTCAGTAGCAGTTCCCAGAGAGGTGGACAGGGTATAGAGAACAGCTTGCTAAGAGGGGTCACGCCACAGTCCACACAGCTGTGTAGCAGCCATTCTTTGTGACCCTTGCAATTGACAGCTCCGAGGTGAGAGACCGAGAGAACAGGGTGGGTAGGTGACTCTCAGGGAGCCAGCCTAGCTTAGAAAGCTCTTCTTCCAAGGGGCTCGTGTGTCTTTTGGGGGCCCCACAAGTGCGGGTGTTCTTAGCTGCAGGTCACCACACTTAGGTAGAGTTTGCTGCCGATTTCTCCTGGTATGCCTGCAGTTTCTGTTCAGGCCACTGTTGCCAAGGCAGTGCTATGTGGGTAACTGGGCTGCTGGGCCACCTCATGCAGGTCATGACTCCACAGGGAAGTCACGCCCCCGCCACCGTCTGCATGGTTGTGTGGAAACACTGCATTCTAAGAAGCATGTAGAGTCAGTCGAGCTGGGATTCTGTTAGCTTGGACGCTAACACATCATTGGCAGGAGGGATAGACTTTGAAGAATATTATTTGGAATGATTTCATGTATAGGGGAGAACAACAGGGTTGGGAAAACAAAAAGGTGACCGGGGAGAAGTGGTGCAGAGGCAGGGAGCAGCGTGGGGGACAGTGGCCATATCCTCCCAGAACTCCTTGTGTTTACTCGGTCACATGCTGCTACCCACTGCTGGGAACACTGGAGAACAGATCAGGCCGAAGCTCATCCGGGTTTGGGAGGAAGCTGCTCACTCCGATGCCCCTCCTTAGCCCTTGGCAGATGTGGACAGAGACAGCTGATGGGGCCAGGGCCACCTGGACTTGGCTGCCAGCCATTGTAACTGCTGGGCACCGGGGATCCTGTGTGTTGATGTGACCGGCTCTTTTAGAGCTTGTCCTCCCCTCTACCTGTGAAAATGGCTCCTACTTCACAGAAAAGGAAACCCAGACCCCGAGCGGTTAGACACTTAGCCCAGGACACACAAAAATGAAGACACCAAGGTGGGGTTCAAACCCGTGTGTCGGATGACAGAATCCTTCAGGAGACATGCGTCTCCAGGCTAGGAGAACAGGACAGCCATGGCGGGAAAGCACAGGTGTCTGAGCAGGCCCTGGAAGAGGGGCAGCAGAGAAGGAAGCAGCCGGGGAAGAGCTCTTGTGGGATCTGAGTTCACTGGGAAATAGTGCTTTTCTGAGTGTCTACATAAAAAGGCAAAACTTGGCCCAGAGACCAGAACTGGGGCCTCAGGCCTTCTGAGACTGGCCTGGGTCTGCAGTCCTGGGCTTGACGCCTGTTTCTTTGCCAGCAAATGCTCTGGACCTCCTTGCTACATGGAGAGACTTACTTCCCATTGGTAGCCTTCTCCACCCTGTTCTGGTCTTTTCTGTCCACGTGGAGGTCCCATGGGACATGGCTAACAGCTGGGGCACTGGGGCTGGGTGACCAGTGCATCTGGGCCCGAGAGATGCTGATGGATGAGCATGTTTGGGGCTGTGTGAGGCTGGTTGGAGTTGGGTGGGGAAGGTGTCTATCCAGGTGGACAGGGGTCAGTGGATCAGAGCCCTGGCTGCTGCACACTGACACCCAACTTTGTTCTCTTCTCAGCCTTCCCTCTAAGGAGGAGTTACTGCTGCCACCAGTGCCACCCCATCCCCAGCCAGAGGAGACCCTGCCCACGCTCCTGCCTACCTTTCCCCAGGGGCCTCCCTGTCCTCCCGAGATTCCTCCCAAACCTCCTCGCCTACTCCCTGAGTTTGGTGAGTGCCACAGGACAGCTGGGCTCTGGGTGGCCTCCGGGGCTCCGTCCTGGAGAGCATGCTCCCTCTCTGCCCAGTGGCCAGCAGTCCCCTGGGGAGGCCCAAATAGCATGCTTCTTCTCCACCCTGTCTTCTGCTTGCCAAGTGTGAGCAAGGCTGACCCTTGGGGTGGTGAAGTTCCTGGTCCGAGAGCTGCTGGAGGTGAGGCTGCCACCCCTGGCTTGTCTTCATTCTTGTTGCCTTGTAGGCCTTGTTTGGACAGTCCCCACTCCTGACTCCAGAGTTTGTTGCCTGGTCAGCCTCCTGTGGTGGCCCTTCCTTCCCTTCAGTATAAATAGCACTTCCTGTCCCCTGTGCCTGTCTTTTGAAAGTCAGGCCTGAGTAGGGGTGGGAGTCTCCCAGTCTAGGAGTGGCCTTTGTAAAACCAAACTCTAGTGTCCCTTAGGTCAGGTTCCTGGCTTCTGAGCCCCCCCTCGCCCCTTTTTACCAGACGATTCTGACTATGACGATGTCCCAGAGGAGGGGCCCAGGGCCCCAGCCAGCGTAATGACCAAGGTAGGCAGGGCAAGTGGTTGGGGTTGCACTGATGGCCGGTCTTGTAGAGGGAGGGAGGGCTGACAGCTCATTGGTCTTAGAGACCCTAGGATCTCCTCCCCTAGCAGAAAGGCCACCCCCCCCCCAAATTTACGGTCTCACCATATAGGAGTCCACCCCAGAACCTCATCCTGGGATCTGCAGCTTCTGTCCCAGGCTTGGGTTGCTGTGGCTGGGTGTGTGTGGTCTGCTGCTGTTTGTGTCCTCATGTCCCCTCTCTCCAGCTCCATGTCCTAGGTCAGTGTTTGCTGCCAGTCCTGACCCTGTCCCCTGTTCTCTGTGTGGTCTTGGCCACTGCGGGGGAAGGGTGCAGAAACAGAAGGAAACAGAAGTAAAAGTGCTGAGTTGTGTGGGCTGAGGATGGAGTAGACTGGTGTGGCAGTCAAGGGGTGTGATTGGGGATGAGGGGAAAATGTGACACTGAGTGGGTGACCCTGGGGGGCCAGGAGGAGCCCTTGCCAAGCCGAGTCCCGCGGGCTGTGAGGGTGGCTAGTCTGCTGAGCGAGGGAGAGGAGCTGTCTGGGGACGATGCCGAAGATGAGGATGACCATCACTATGAGGGTATCCCCAAGTGAGTATCCTCCCATTCGGCTGCCCTCTTTCCCAGAACCCCTTAGCCTGCCCACCTGCCGTGCTGTAGCCTCAGGGAGCCCCAGCCTCGCTGCCCTTCCCTTCTCTTGTCCTAGTGGCGGGTGGCCCACCAGTGGCCTGAACCACCCCTTACTCAGCCTGACCCCTGATTTCCCACCACACCTCATGGATGAGCTGCCTGGGGGCTCCACCCCCATCACACCGGTCATCAAGGCTGGCTGGCTGGACAAGAACCCACCACAGGGGTGAGTGAGGCCTGCCTGCACCTTCTCGTGTCTGCATGGGGGCAAGGCATGCCCCAGGATATTGGTACCATGAGTCCAAAGTCAGAGGGGTCCAAGATTGAGAAATTTTCCTTCCGCAGCAAATTAACCATTGGTGACCAATGGATGATCTAGGTGCTAGGAAAGGGGGCCTGGGTATAATGGTGGGACTTCCTCCTCATTCCAGTCTTTGCTGACCAGTGCCTCTGCCTGTCCAGGTCTTATATCTACCAGAAGCGATGGGTGAGACTGGATGCTGACTACCTGCGATACTTTGACAGTAACAAGGTGAGGCTACCGTTGGCCTCGCTTGACCCTTGCTCTTGCCCAGGCCTACGCTGAACCCCGGTATTTCTTTAGGCCTAGTCCTTAGCTGACCCTCAGTGGGGTCCTGGTCTGTGAACTGGCTGAAGGCAGGGATCGCGGCAGAAGATAGGCTTATAGCTGTCATTTCAGTGGAGTTGAGCAGGGGCCCTAGGGTTCCCACTCTGAATGCAGCTCTTCTCTCCCCTAGGACGCCTACTCTAAGCGCTTTGTCCCTGTAGCCTGCATCTGCCGAGTAGCTGCTATTGGAGACCAGAAGTTTGAAGTGATCACCAACAATCGAACCTTTGCCTTCCGGGCAGAGAGTGATGGTGGGAGTTTAGGAGTGTCTCTGTGTGTATTTGTGTGTGTCTGTGTGCATGTGCATGTGTGTCTGTATGTGTGGTGGGAGTTTAGGAGTGTATTTGTGTGTGTGCATGTGGGGGAGAGTTTAGGAGTATATGTGAGTGTCTGTATGTGCATGCGTGTGCGTCTGGATATGCATGTGTGTCTGTGGGGGGGCAGTTTAGGACTGTGTGTGAGTGTCTGTATGTGCATGCGTGTGTGTCTGTATGTGCTTATGTGTCTGTGTGTGTGTGTCTGTGGGGAGTTTAGGAGTGTGTGTGTGTGTCTGTATGTGCGTGTGTGTCTGTGCATGTGTGTCTGTGTGTGTGGTGGGAGTTTAGAAGTATGTGTGTCTGTGTGTAGGACTGGAAATTTGGTCACGTTGTGGAGAGTGGGAAGGGAACAATGTATGTTTGCTCCCTAACACACAGACCGAGTGAGGCATTGTCCCTGTGTGGTTTGGGGGAGGAGAAGGAAGGAGGAGCTCCTTCCCTGACACACCCCAGCTGTACAGAGTACACATCAGCATGTGCAGAGATGCAGGCTCTAACAGTTGTGTAAGCCAGACAAAGTGACAGACCAAACCAGTGGGCTGCCTAGCGAGGTGATCTTTGAGGAGCCTATAGCCAGGGGTCCCTGTCAACTGAGTTCAGATGTCGCTTTCACCCTTTTGCAGTGGAGCGGAATGAGTGGATGCAGGCCTTGCAGCAGGCAGTGGCCGAGCAGCGAGCCTGTGTTCGGCTCTCCAGTGCTTCTGTGTTGGGAGTTCGAGGCTCTGAGCAGCCAGACCGCACTGGCAGCCTGGAGCTACGAGGCTTTAAAAATAAGCTTTATGTGGCTGTGGTTGGGGACAAAGTACAACTCTACAAGAACCTGGAGGTACGAAGGACTCTTACCAGGCCACTGGGCTCCCCTGACCTGTGCTCACCACAGTCCCCTTCCCTGCCTCTCTCCTGTTTACCTGGTCCCTCCCTGGTCTTGCTAAAGCCCAAGTTCGGTACTTTCCCATCCAGCCTTTCCTGCTCTGGGCCTGCATACCCTTCTTCCCTCCTGTCTATCTGTGCCTCATCTCCATCCAGCTCCTGAGATCAACCTCCCACCCTCCCCACTCAGCTCCTGAGCGCCACCTCCCACCCTCCCCACTCAGTTCCTGAGATCCACCTCCCACCCTCCCCACTCAGTTCCTGAGATCCACCTCCCACCCTCCCCACTCAGCTCCTGAGATCCACCTCCCACCCTCCCCACTCAGCTCCTGAGCTCCACCCTCCCACCCTCTCCACTCAGCTCCTGAG